CCCTTCCTGGCCATGTGCCAAGATAATTCTTTCGAAAAGCTTCCGCAGGACCGAGGTAAGGCTCACAGCCCTATAGTTTCCTGGGTCCTCCTTTGTCCCTTTTTTGAAGATGGGGACCACACTGGCCCTTTTCCAGTCCTCCGGCACATTGCCCCAGAGCCATGAGTGCTCATAGAGCTGTGCCAGAGGTCCAGCAATGACCCCTGCTAGTTCCTTCAGCACTCTGGGGTGGAGATCATCAGGACCTGCGGATTTAAATACATCTAGTCCCTCCAGAAGTTCCCTGACAAGGTCCTCATTAATCCTAGGCCTGGGTGTGTCACTGACAGGGCCCTCAGGGGGGCCAGTGGGGGAAATATCCGGGTCCCTCCTCAGAAATATGGAGGCAAAGAAATTGTTGAATATGTCAGCTTTACTGTCAGGTGAGATGACCAGATTTGCTAGCATGTCCTGCAGAGGCCCCATATTACTTGGCACCTTCTTTTGCCCCCCCTATGTATTTGAAAAAGGGCTTCTTGTTTTCCTTGATCTGGGTCGCTAGTCCCAGCTCCATTTCCACCTTGGCCTTCCTGATCACGTTGAAACTGGCAAGGCACGTTTGTACAATCTCTTGCCATGTGTCCTATTCGTCCGCACTGGAAGCACATTATCATTGATTATCTCGTCTCCCGGGCCTCCTTATGACCCGTCTCAGGTGATACAGGGGTTATCCTTCCTTTTATACCACATTCTCGGTTACCGTCTCCTTGCGCGATGTCAAAATCTTCTGCTAATCTCAGCTTCTGCTGACAATTTCAGGCAGTGGCAATGCACCTATGGCTGGGTACCTTCGTCCAGATCCATTAAAAATTTTTCTAGCAAAATCTGGTCACAGATCCACTTTGGACACCTCTTGGGGTCTCAACCACTTCTCTAATAAATCTGCCAGATGTTGAAGTAAGATCCGAGTGCACTTATCCTCTTCTTCATTCAGAAGACTTGACGATATTCTCTTGGGGTTGATATCCAAACAATACATAATTTCCTTTTTTACTTTGTCATAGTTGACTGCTTCGCCCCATGGCATAGCTCGATAGGCAGCCCGGGCTTTTCCTATCAGTAAGACACCCAAATTGGCCAATCCCATCAGCTCCAATCCAAACCTGAGACCAGTGCTGCTCATTCGAAACTCTCTAGAAGGACTTCTGGGTCGTCCTGTGGAGTCATCTTGGGAACCTTCAATTCCACTTGATTTCATTGAGTCCATGCTTGTTGTTGAAGATACTTTTCCTCGAGAGCAATTTGTCGACCTGCTTGCTGTTGCTGTTGTTGTAGCAGCTGGCTTACCTGATGTAGTGTCTGCTGGAGAGGTTCAGGATTCCCCATGGTGCCTGGTTGCATTTCCATGTGTTCCTTACGACTTAGGTCACTGTCAAATTTCCCAGCGAATGCACCACTTGTACGGGGGTTCTGACTAACCCGATGCGACATTCTCGCTTTTCTTCCCTCCGATTGCACTGTCTGGGCTAATAACGTTATTTACAGACTCTCGCCTGCCAAGTCTTGATTAATATATGATGTTATAAGTCGGGAGGTGTTATTGGTTATCTGCCCCAATAAAATGTGGCAACCAGTGGGGAAGGGGATCTTCTTTAGTTTTTAATAAATTTTGTTTTTGCTTTTGGTAGTTCTTGTGTAGCACGTCTAGTACTAACTGTCAAGTTAACATCACAGTCTTACTTTGTTTAGCTTAACAGTGTCTTTTATTTATACTTTCTCAAACTTATATCTATCACTTATTTGTTATGTGTTTACATCAATTAAATATCACTATCAACTTAAATGGAATCCATCTCGGATAAGATTTTACTTTAATCACATTACTGCTTCTCTAACCTTTTTCAGTCTGCGTGGTTTGTACCTTCTCGGGTTTAGTCCTCATTACTCTTCTGGGCATGGTCTCTCTTCCCGAGAACCTACCGCGCCCACTCTCAATTGCCTCTTCTTTTCTTCCTTTTTTTCTTTTTGAGTTCAATAGGCTCACTATAGAGCCTCGCAAGTAAACAACAACAACAACTAAACCTCAGTCCCCGTAACTTCCCAATGAGAAAAGGGTTTCTCTCCCCTTTGGGGGAATCACCTCTGGTGGATTACTCATTGGCGATTCTTCATTGAATTAACTCTGTTTGCCTCTTGCACTCGCTCAGAGCCCGATTCTTCGGGGTCCTCTGCTCTCCGTTTCTCTTCTCGGAGCCTCCCTCTTCGCTCTCCTCTGGCGTCTGTCTCCCTCCGGCCCCTCCCCCTTCTGCCCCAGGGCATTTGGTCCTCACTGAACAGCTTCTCCTGAACCTCCACACTCCTCCGGTTCTCTCCTCCTTGTCTTCCTCGGTCTCCGTTCCTGCTGTGAGGGTTTTACTTGTTACTCCTGGTTCTTCACACAAACAAACAAACAATCAACAATGTCACAGGGAGAGACGAACATGGGAGACCCCAAAGCCCAAGGGGGAAGCCCCGGGGCTAGGAAACGGGGGAGGAGCAGGAAAAATAAAAGTAAAAAAAGAAAACTTACCTGCAGCAGGACTTGAGGCACAACAGGAGTGACAGGGAAAACCCGCGCGGGTTATTAGCTGCGCCTTCATTCAGCTGCGGTCGGCGGGTGACGTCAGCAGCGATTACCGGCCGGCGGAAACAAAAAGGACGACACACAGAGAAGCAGGGGGGTGGATACTGGGTGGAGCCCCAGCCGGCGGAGTCAGTTGAAAGGACAGGATGGAGGGAGAGGCAACGATCGCTAGTAGAAGAGGAGTCAACGCCTCAGGTAGCAAGGGAAAGGTCGGCAGCGGCAGTAAAGAGAAACCGGCGCTAGGAACAGGAGCTCCCGTGATGGGCAAGGCAGAGAATAAGGAAGATACCTGGAAAAGCCCCAGGACCAATAGTTTCCAAGGAAAAGGAGGAAACTCTGATCCTCCTTACAACATCCAAATAGGTGGGACGGTGGAGGGGCCCAGAGCGTGTGGAGAGACACCACAAGGGGAGGAGCAATTTTGGGAAGACCCAGAGAGAGGGCAGCAATACTGGAAAGACCCAGAGAGAGGGCAGCAATATTGGGAAGACCCAGAGAGAGGGCTATGGGGCTGTGAAATCCCAGAAAGAGGGCTGCAGGATTGAGAAGACCCAGAGAGAGGGTCACAACATTTTAGAGACCGCGAGGGAGAGCAGCCATAGCCAGGGCAGTAGGGACCAAGCTGCAGGGCTAGGTGATCTAGAGAGGACCCTGTTGGGCAAATAGGAGTGTGGAGGGGCTATCTGGGGTCCACAAGGAGGCACGGTGTTGGTGGTGGTTTTCTTGTGTTTGTTGGCCCTTTTCTTTCGCCAGAGAGAGTATTTTGTGTTTCCCCGCATCGGAAGGGGTTGAAGAAAGGTGAAAACAAGAAAAGCGGGAAGATGAGTCAAGCGCTCGTTGTTTGAGCAAGGATTGTGGACTATGAGATCGGCTGCAAGATCAACAGTGACCCGCCAGGCTGGGTATAGGGCGAGGTAGAGGGGAGATGGAGCCTCGCGGAAGACCTCGTGAAGACCTCCCCGTAAGACCACCTGCAACGGCAGGGTGGATCCTGGTGAGGACCCGAACTAGGGAAGCATGGAACAAGATGTTCGAGGCCAGGCAGGCACAAACAACAACAAAAAACCCCAACTATCTTGGTCTCCCGAGATAAACATAACCTATCCTCAAATTCCAATACTTATGATGCCTCATAAAGGGACTTGACTCAGAAGACTCTTCTGCTGGGACAAGAGATGCCTGATAGAGAAGAGGAGCAAGTGGACAATCTTTGGACATAATCAGAAACTCAAAAAACCAGGTCTGTCTACCTATTCCATACTGACACAACTAATACTACTTGGCTTGATTCTCTTCAAATACTCTGGGAATGAGAAAGAATGGAAAAGAGGCATAAGCAAAACATTTCACTATGTCCTTCAATGGGAGAAGTTCTAGGCAAGCCAGGAAAGGTACTGAAAGGGAATAAGCAGAGCTGAAGGTCTTGGACTTGCAATAAATTATTTTTAATAATGTCATGGCATATTAGGCCTCTATACAAAATCAGATTAGACTAAGGTTTTTTTAAATGTGTAGAAAGTGACCAAATTAAATGAAATAATCCAAATGTGTAAAGAATACTCATTAAAATGGCTTTCAAGACTTGAAGTGATGACTATCAAAAGTATACTCAAGTACACCCCCTGACTATCAAAAGAGGATTTTTTTTAAAGAATCACCTTTCAGTTATAAAAAGAATGTAGCTTCCATTTAGATTTCATAGAAATGCTTTGGAACAAGAGGGAACAAGAACAGGACACTTGCAAAGGTAGTAAGTATTAAGTAGCATGCGATTTTTACGAGTCAAAGTGTAAATGGTAACACTGCTTCACAGAAATCTTTTTCATGAAGTATAATTGACACCTACATTCAGTGAGTCAATATTATATAATTAAATGTACACACACACAAAATTCATATTTGGCTGAACAGAAGTACAATGACAAGAAAATAAAACTTCTGTTTCATCAGAAATCCCTTTACACCCCTGATCACAAAAGAAGAAAAGAATCAAAAATCATCCAAAAAAGGAAAAGGCGAATTACTGTAAGAAATAAAAGTCTTACAAATTTAGATTAAATAAAAATTAGAATAAAAGTCTGCATTAAATTAGAATAAAAGTCTAATAAAGTTAGATATAAAAGCCTGCATTGCAATGCAGTAATTTTCAATACTGTTTAATAAGATTCACTGTTGCACCCAAATACACACAATAATTTGTTAATCCAGAATAAGGAACCTGAATCACCTGATTTCTGCTGTTTCCAATCCCTACCAAGAATATTTAAAAGGAATATGAATTTTACTTTAACTGTCAAAATCAAATCCCTAATGCTGCCTTGTGGTCTACCCAGTAGCAGCAGTCTGACACTAATGGTCACAAAGCAGGAAAATGGTCCAAGATTGTAAGAAGAGTTACCTGGCCCTTTCTCGTGCTGCATCTTCCCGTGCTTTCTCTTTTTCTTGCCGCTGCTGCTCAATTCGAGCTTCTTGTTCTCTCCTCTTCATCAGCAGCTCTTCGACCCGTGCTTGGCGTTCTGCTTCCAGAGCTCTTTTACGCTCCTAATTATAAATTAATCATTCTCAACTATTAATTTTATTTAAAAGTTGACAGCAATATGAAATCAGATTTTAGGCCCTGCTACAGGCTCCTATTATTACTCTTACATACATTCTAAGGATCAAGTTTCCACAGAATAGATATGTTGGTACATGCTCAAAAATGCTCTCATGAACATATGCATGTATAAATCACCTAAACATTATGCATTAATATAGGTTCTAAATAGGCATAAAAAGAATTAGACGCAAAAGATTAAACCCACTGAACAAAGAGTCTCAAAAAGAGTGATTACTTAACCACAGTCCAGTTATACATTTGGGTGTACTGTATATGCTGCTTTAAAAAAAAATCTCCTCCCAAGGAACCCTAAAATCTTTTTAGCTTGATTCTAAAATCATTTTGCACTACTAAGATACATTTTGACTGTAGCTTTTTTTTTGCCTGATCAGACCCAAATGTGCAACTTCTTTCCTATTACCTAAATTTCATTTTATTGTAACCATCATAGTAAAATTACAGGCTGCGCTATAAACCTCTCTGACAGATTAGCTTTATTGTTCCAGTAAAAAACATAAAACAAACCATGTTTTAAAACCATGTTTGAAGTTTCAAAGTTGTATTTAGCTAATTAGTTTCACTAAAAGAGAATGTGGTTCTTTTATTACAAGTGGGGGGGGACACTGAATTTTAGAAGCCATTTCCAACTGCCTTGACTTGACTTTTGAAATATTAGCTGTTTTTGCATATATAAAAATCAGATAGTTAAATATATTTTTTAAATATATCCCTAGCATGGTCTCTATAAACACAATATTAAGCCATAATTTACCTCAAGTGCAAGATCTCATTAGCACAAGGAAGCTCGTTAGGTTGAGGTAACACTTTTAAATGGCTTGCATTGTACAGAGTAACTTAAACACCAGATGCACAAACTTTACATGCATTAAAAGTAACAAAACTTTAATCTAATGCTATGTTTTTGATTTAACACTATAAAAGTTTGGAAATCCAAACACCAACAGTAGCCATAACTCTGGCCCTCTGCATATAAGTAACATTTTGTGTTCATGTATATGACATTAATTTTAAAGTCTTACTATACAGGTGAAATGTAGTTGGGTCATGGTTACTGTAGGACCGGATCTTTGATTATCCTACCTTGCCATGTATAAAATTTCAATGATAACATTGCTTGAATGAATTTAATTTCCTTTCTTTAAAAAAGGTAAAGAGAAAAACAAGAAAAAGAATGGCATGCTTGACTAACCATATAATCAAATAGACAGAAGTGCAGATACCCTATTAAAAATACAAAATGTGTCTGGAGTACTGTGGAGCAGACTGATAACCCTGCTGAATATCATTCACACAAGCCTTGAAAACATCCTTTGGAAATGGGCTAATAGACTTTAAATTAGGTGTCTACACCACCAATAACTTTAATGTAAGATCTGGAGAAAAATAGCATATTGGCAATATAATGATCAAATGTTCAAACAAACACTTGAGGAGTGGATATACATGATGGTTGGTGAGTATGTATCTGTCAACATCAAGGGGGACTAATGAACTTTTCCTGAGCAGTCTGAAACACCATTTAAACTTATGAAAACAAAGTTATAGATATGTCCACACATGTGCTAGTCCATATTCATGCATTCATTTTTTTTAAATGAGAAAATTATACCCTACATATAGAAACATAAATGTCTTATATTTACATTTTATTACTAAAGTTCTTTTTCAAGGTGCTAATTCCCACTGAAGACAAAGACTCTAATATTCATATTAAAAAGAAACAATATATAGTTATGCTAAGTTGACTAAGCCAACAGTTGCACTTAGAAGTTTTAGTGGCAGTGGTGAAGAAAATGGTATTTTACCATCTGTACCTTGCCACATGGATGTGGTCTTCCCTTCTGGATGTAGATCTTGCTATCATCATCCATACTTTCCTCATTTCAAAGTCTAACATGGTTGAATCTACCTTACCAGTTCTTGCATCTGCTCAAAACCTGCCAACACATCTCCACCACCCCCACAATTACTACACCCCACAACAGAGCCATCAGCATCCCAGGATCTTACAGCTGCACCTCCAGAAATGTAATATACCTCATCCAATGCACCAAATGCCCTGATGGAAAATACGTAGGAGAGACCAAACAACAACTGCGCACCAGAATGAACGCACACCGGAAATCCATCAAAGATAGAAATACCCAATTACCGGTGGGGGCACATTTCTCACAGGAGGGCCACTCTCTCTCCAATCTCTCAGTCCTGATCCTCAAGGGAAACTTACACAACGCTTCCCAGAGACGAGCTTATGAGCTCCATTTCATCAACCTCCTGGATACTAGAGATCATGGACTAAACATAGACATTGGATTTTTGATACATTATAATTTGCCTGACAACTGACTCCCCAGCCCAGACCCTGGCTTCTTTACTTTTCATTCCATCCAGGAAGAACACACACCAACTGCTGAAACTTCCCTAGCCTGACGAAGGGTTTTTGAACCCGAAAGCTTGCTTAATAACTTTTCTCCAACTATTTGGGTTGGTCTAATAAAAGATATCAAATTCACCCAAGGAACTTTGTCTGCATCTGTTCAGCATCTCTGAAAACCAGGCTGCTTTTGTTTAAGTGCTACAGTCAGATTTAGGTGCAAGAGTGTTTACGTACCCACGTTTAACTATGTTAACTATTTTTTTTAAACAAAAAAAGGTTAAATCATGAAAAACTGATTGGCACACTAGAAAACTGTCAGAACTGAAGTGGCTCATTTCAGTTCACTAGAACAGAAAGGATCAGGTCCAGGTCCACAGGAGGTAGCACAAATCCTCACCAAGGGGACCATCCAGGTCTGCACAGTGTTTTGCAGCTGAGGAGTGCAGGGAAAAACTGTTTTAGAATTCAGGCCATGGATGAAAAAATAAATCTCTAGAGAAAAAAAGCTGTAAGGGGCCAAGGAGTCTTGATTTTTAGTCAGGCACTGGGAATGGTGGGCAGAAAGATTGGGGACAGGATTCAGGGTTATAAGGCTGCATATAAGCCCCAGAGGGCTTGCTCTGCTGTGCTTAAGAAGTATCCAGCGCTCACATCTAAAAGGACAGGTCTAGAAAAATGCACAGAACCAAGAAAACAAAAACAGACTGGGAATAATAGCCAGGAAGCAGATGACTCCCTAAAGATAAGATGGAGGACTATGAAGGTGACTGGAGCCAAGTACTCTTCATAAACTTAAACATTTTAGCAGGGGCTTGTTCAGTAGGGCTGTGCGAAGGTTTGGTTCCTGATTTGATTCAGCGGAGATTCGGCCAAATTCAGTGTCTAAATCTCTGAATCTGAATCGAATCAGAGGGCCTTTTAATCTCTCCGAATCGATTCAGAACCCTCTGAATTGATTCAGAGAGATTCAGCGATTCAGACGTAGATACAGCTTTAAATGTTTTTTCTATATACCTCTAGGTAGCAGGGGCTCAGGATCCCTGCAGTGCTGGGGCAGATGCAGTGTCCCACAGAAGTGTGGGGGCTCCCCAGCGTGCTTGGTGGCAGACCCGGAAGTGGACCAGAAGCACTTCCGGGTACACCAGGGTGTGTGCTGGGGGGCCCCACACACACCCTCCTGACTCAGTGACTGGTGCCTCCTGAGTCAGGGGGCACCCAGGGTATAACTGTGACTGACTGCCAGGCCAGGGAGCCCCCCACTGTACTCCCTGGCAGATCCAGAAATGGACCAGAAGTACTTCCGGTCCACTTCCAGGTTCACCGCTGAGCATGCTGGAGAGTCCCCCGTGCTGCTGTGGGATGCTCCATAGATTCATAGATGTTAGGGTCGGAAGGGACCTCAATAGATCATTGAGTCCGACCCCCTGCATAGG